TCTCCCAGCCCCTGGCTACTACTGATCTACTTTCCTTTTTTTTTTTTAATGATTTTATTTATTTGTTTGTCAGAGAGAGAGAGAGAGAGCACAAACAGGGGGAGCATCAGGCAGAGGGAGAAGCCGACTTCCCGCTGAGCAGGGAGCCCAATGTAGGACTCGATCCCAGGACCCTGGGATCATGACCTGAGCCGAAGGCAGATGCTTAACGACTGAGCCACCCAGGCGCCCCTGATCTCCTTTCCTTCTCCACGCATCTATTTGCCAGCTCTGGACATTTCATGCAAATGGAGTCCTATAATCTGTGGTCCTTGCGTCTGGCCTCCCCCACGCCCCCACCCTCCCAGCCCATTGCCCTCAGGGTCCAGCCATGTCGAAGAATGCATCAGCACTTCATTTCTTTTTGTGGCTGCATACTGCTGTGTTGTGTGGATGCGTCACACTTTATCTTTTCATCATTTGAAGGACATTTGGGTTATTTTTACTTTGTGGTTATTACGAATCATGCTACCATGAACATACACGTACAAGTGTTTGTGTGAACATACCCTTTCTTCTTCCTTGTTCTTACTGTGGTAAGAGCACTTGACATGAGGTCTGCCCTCTGAATAAAATTCCAGGTGCACAGGATAGTGTTGCCAGCTGTAGGCACTATGCTGTGGGGGGATTTCGAGAACTCCTCCATCTTGCATAACTGAAACTTTATACCCACTGAACAAGTCCCATTTCCCCTTCTCCCCTGCCAACCACCATTCTACTCTCTGTTTCCCTGGGCTTGACCATTTTAGATACCTCACGTAAGTGGAATCAAACAGTGTTGGTCCTTCTGTGACTGGCTTATCTCACTTAATATCCTCCTGATTCATTTATATTGTCACATACGGCAGGATTTCCTTCCTTTTTAAGGCTCAGTAGTATTCCATTGTAGGTAGATACCACATTTTCTCTATCCATTCATCAGTTGATGGGCATTTAGGTTGTTTCCATATCTGGGCTGTTGCGAATCTTGCAGCAGTAAACATGGGAATGGAGATAACTCGAGATACTGGTCTAAATTCTTTTGGGTATATACCCAGAAGAGGAATTGCTGGATTATAAGGTAGTTCTATTTTTAATTTTTTGAGGAATCTCCATACTATTTTCCATAGCAGCTGTGTGATTTTGTATTCCCAACAGTGTACAAGGGCTCTGATTTTTCTATATCCTCGCCAACACTTACTATTTCTTTTCTTCAAAATAATCTCTGCGCCCAACATGGGGCTTGAACTCATGACCCTGAGATCAAGTCACATGCTCTACCGGCTGAGCCAGACAGGTGCCCCTATTTCTCTTGTGTGTTTTTTTTTTTTTTTTGATAATACCCATTTTAATAGGTGTGAGGTCGTATCTCATTGTGGTTTTGATTTGTATTTTCCTGTTGATGAGTGATAGTACCTTTTCACATACCTGTTGGCCATTTATGTTGTCTTTGGAGAAATGTCTATTCAAGTCCTTTGCCTATTTATTTAATCAGATTATTCCTTCCCTCCCTTCTTGTTGAGTTGTAGGATTAAGCATGTTTTCAGTACTTCTGGAACTGTACTTCTGGTGGCTCAGTCGATTAAGCATCTGCCTTTGGCTCAGGTCATGAGTGGAGTGGAGTTTCTGGGTCATATCTAACCTTTCGAAAAACTGCAAAAATGCTTCCCAAAGCAGCCGGCGCAGCCTACATTCTCACTGGAAATGCAGGAGGCTCCCATTGCCATATGCTTGCCACCCTGATATTGTTTGTCTTCTTGATTATAGCCAGCCTAGGTGTGAAGTAGTATCTCATTGTGGTTTTATTTTTCTAATTAAAAAAAATTTTTTTTTAATTATTTTTTAATTCTTGAAGTATAATTGACGTAGATATTACATAACTGTTACATTAGTTTCAACATCTTGATTTGATAGTTCTATACATTATTCATTGCTCACTGTGATAAGTATGGTCCCCATCTGTTGCCACATAATGTTATTACAGTATCATTGATTATATTCCTTATGCTGTACTTTTCGTCTTCTTGACTTACTTATTTTATTACTGGGAGTTTGTACCTCTTAGTACCCTTCACTTATTTCATCCATCCTCCCATCCACCTCCCTCTGGCAACCACTAGTTCTCTGTATTTAAGAGTATTTTTGTTTTGTTTTTTAGATTCTACATATAAGTGAAATTACATTTGTCTTTCTAAGTCTGACTTACTTCACTTAGCTTAATACTAACTGGGTCCATCCATGTTGTTACAGATTGCAAGATCTCGCTCTCTTGTTTTTATGGCTGAGTAATATTCAAAGATGTATACCACATCTTTATCCAGTTTACCTATTGGTGAACACTTGGGCTGCTTCCACATCTTGGCTCTTGTAAATATATCTCAATAAACACAGGGGTCCATGTATCTTTTCAAATTAGTGTTTTTGTTTTCTTTGGGTAAATACCCAGTAGTGGAGTTTTTGGATCATATGGTTTTTCTATTTTTAATTTTTGAGGGGCCTCCATACTGTTTTCCAAAGTGGCTGCACCAGTTTATATTCCCACCAACAGTGCATGAGTGTTCTTTTTTCTCCACATCCTCATCAATACTTATTTCTTATTTTTAATGATTTTATTTATTTATTTGACAGAGAGAGACACAGCAAGAGAGGGAACACAAGCAGGGGGAGTGGGAGAGGGAGAAGCAGGCTTCCCGCTGAGCAGGGAGCCTGATGCGGGGCTCGATCCAGGACCCTGGGACCATGACCTGAGCTGAAGGCAGATGCTTAACGACTGAGCCACCCAGGCACCCCTTATTTTTAATTTTTTGAGGAAATTCCATACTGTTTTCCACAGTGGTTACACCAATTTACATTTCTACCAACAGTGCATGAGGGTTGTTTTCTTCACACTGTCACCAACACTTGTTATTTCTTTTCTTTTTTCTTTTTCTTTTTGTTTTTTAAGTAATCTCTACACCCAATATGGGGCTCGAACTCATGACCCCGAGATCAAGAGTTACATGCTCTACCGACTGAGCCAGCCAGCTGTCCCTTGTTATTTCTTTTTGATACTAGCCATTCTGACTGATCCTCATTGTAGATTTGATTTGTATTTCCCTGATGATTATTGAATGAGGTTGAGCATCTTTTCATGTGTCTGTTGGCCATCTGTATGTCTTCTTTGGAAAAACGTCTCTTCAGATCCTCTGCCCACTTTTTTTTTTTTAAAAGATTTTATTTATTTATTTGACAGAGAGAGAGCACAAGTAGGCAGAGAGGCAGGCAGAGGGAGAGGGAGAAGCAGGCTCCCCGCTGAGCAGGGAGCTCGACGTGGGGCTCGATCCCAGAACCCTGGGATCATGACCTGAGCCGAAGGCAGCCGCTTAACCAACTGAGCCACCCAGGTGCCCCCTCTGCCCACTTTTTAATCAGATTATTTCCTTTTTGGTGTTGAATTGTATAAGTTCTTTTTATATTTAGGTATTAACCCCTTACCAGATATATCATCTGCACATATCTTCTCCTATTCAGTAGTGCCTTTTTGTTGTGTTGGTGGTTTCCTTTGCTGTGTAAAAGCTTTTTTTTAATTTAAGATTTTTAAATTTTGTTTGTGCAAAAGCTTTTTATTTTGATTCTTTGTGGCTTTGATTTGCATTTGCATTTCCTCAATGACTAATGATGTTGAGAATATTTTTATGTACTTATTAGCCATTTGTATATTTTCTTGGGAGAAGTATCTATTCAAATCAAATTCATTTTTTAGTTGGATCATTTGTCTTTTTGTTGTTGAATTGTTCTTTATTTATTCTGGATACTAGACCAGTTGTCCAGATAGATAATTTGCAATTATTTTCTTTCATTCTGTACGTTGTCTTTTTATTTTCTTGATAGTGTCTCTTGATGTCCAAAAGTTTTAAATTTTGATGAAGCCAATTTGTGTATTTTTTCTTTGGTTGTTTGTGCTTTATGTGTCATATTTAAGAAACCATTGTCTAGGGTGCCTGGGTGGCTCAGTTGGTTAAGCATCTGCCTTCAGCTCAGGTCATGATCCCCGGGGGTTTGGGGATCCAGCTCTGCTTTGGGCTCCTTCCTCAGCGGAGAGTCTGCTTCTCCCTCTGCTGCTCCTCTCCTTCGCATATGCACTCATGTGTGCTCTCTCTCTCTCTCTCAAATAAATATAATCTTAAAAGAAAAAAAAAAGAAACCATTACCTCATCCAAGGTCCTGAAGATTTACACTTCTGTTTCCTTCTAGGGTTTTATGGTTTTAGCTCTGACATTTAGGTTTTTGATCCATTTTGAGTTAATTTGATCCATTTTGTATATGATCTGAGGTAGAGATCCAATACTATTCTCTTGTGTCTCAGCCATGATTAGTGCTGATTACTTGTTTAGTTTGACTGTATCCTCTTCACAAAATGGGTAAAGTGTGGAAAGAATAAAGCCTTCATGTCTGTCATTAGGTTTCAGTGTATTGAGGTTGGCTAGAAACTTTATTTGGTTTGATTTTATCTTTCTTTTCTGCATAATACTTTCTTTTGTGTGGATTTGTATCATATCCGTTCTACCACAGTAGTGGATTGGGGGTATGAAAGTAAACTCAAAAATGTAGTATGTGATTAATGGGACTTGATATGTAAGTTACATAAAAGTGATAATCATATTATTACTTCTGTGAATAAAAATATCCGAATGACTGGCTTGGTAAGTGAGCTAACTGGTCTCAACACTTGGCTCATTTAATTGGTGAGGCACTTTCCCTGTCTATGCATATTGCTCTGTGGGTCTCTGTTTCATACATCTAATCAGGTCCGAGCAGATAACCTCCTCCAGGAAACTTCTCTGATCAAGACAAGGCATTTCAGTAACTACTTTTCTGTAGAACTACAAACAGGTGCCAGAACCTCATTTAATTGTTACCTGTACTGTACTTCTCGACTTCTTTTCTACATTTCTCCCCTTCTCACTCTTAACAGATTTTGTTGGTATTTGCCTTTCCTTTAGGTTGCAGTTGTTCTGATGGATACCCAGGGGGCATTTGACAGCCAGTCCACTGTGAAAGATTGTGCCACTATCTTCGCTCTCAGCACCATGACTAGTTCTGTCCAGGTAATACCACTTGATTAAGATAAAAGTTTGCCGAGGAAATAAGATAAAGGGAGTACAGCTGTTTTCATTGTTCTCTTATCAGAATCCCTAGGTGATGTGTCAGTGTTCTTTTTAGGCTATAGAGATAAGTTAAGCTCAAGAAGGAGCTTTAACTTTTTCCACTTTGGACATAAGTATGTATAAAATACTTCAAGAAAAGTCTGAAAAGTGGACATTGAGATTACATTAATTACATCGCACAGGAAATGGAGATTTGGTGAGAACTTAGGAAAACTGATTTTAAGCTATAAAGGAAGAATTAGGTGATTTCAACATTATATGCATAGTTTTCCAAAAGACAGATAATATTACTATTTGAACAGACCTCATGTTCTTATATGTAAACCTTTAGTTGTACAAAGCTTCTGTTCAATGCTTTAGGCTTATTTGGGATTCCTTTGAAGTGAAGCTAGAGTGGTTATCAATCTGGACTTTTTGTTTTCTAGATTTATAATTTGTCCCAGAACATTCAGGAAGATGATCTTCAACAGTTACAGGTATATATTCATCATGAAAAGTTTAATGTCATAATGTATCATTTAAAAGTTTTAAGACTAAGAGAAGTTTTATAGCTGAATAGGTTTAGCAATAGATTGAACTATAGGGGAGGGTTTTTGGCTCATAGCGGTTCTATACCCTGTTCCTGCGGGGTAATCAGGGAAGGGCCTTACTGAGTTGAGCACAGAACCCAAGAAAGTGGATGAGTAAGTCCTGCGGTATATCTGGGGGAGAAGTAGTATAGGAGAGGGGGCAGCAAGAAGAAAGACCTGAACTGGAGGGTGCTTGGCAGGATTGAGGAACAGCACGGAGGCCAGTGGTTAGGACTCGGAAGTGTGACAGGAGGAGGCTTTTTTTTTTTTTAATTTTTTTTTCTTTTTTAAGATTTTATTTATTTATTTGACAGAGAGAGACACAGCGAGAGAGGGAACACAAGTGGGGGGAGTGGGAGAGGGAGAAGCAGGCTTCCTGCCGAGCAGAGAGCCCGATGCGGGGCTTGATCCCAGGACCCTGGGATCATGACCTGAGCTGAAGGCAGATGCTTAACGACTGAGCCACCCAGGCGCCCCCCCCCCTTTTTTTAAGAGAGCGCATACACGATGGGGAGGGGCAGAGGGAGAGAAAGAATCTTTTTTTTTTTTTTTAAGATTTTATTTATTTATTTGTGGGAGAGAGAAGGAGAGAGAGAGAGTACAAGCAGGGAGGAGAGGGAGAAGCAGGCTCCCTGCAGAGCAAGGAGCCCGATGCAGGGCTCCATCCCAGAACCCTGGGATCATGACCCAAGCCGAAGGCAGACACTTAACCCACAGAGCCACCCAGGTGCCCCAGAGAGAGAGAATCTTAAGCAGATTCCCCGCTGAGTGTGGAGCCCAACATGGGCCTCAGTCTCACAACCCTGAGATCATGACCTGAGCCAAAGTTAAGAGTCAGATTCTCAACCACTGAGCCACCCAGGTGCCCTGTGACAGGAGGAGGCTTAGTGATAAAGTCAGAGAGGCATTTAGGTCCTGTTGATGCTTGGCCTTTGCCAAGGGCTCAGGCTTTTCCTCTGAGGAATGGATATAGGAGCCATGTTTTGAGCATAGGAGTGACGTTATTTGAGCAGAGGATCACTCTGGCTGTTTAGAATAGATTTTTTAGGGACAGGTGTGCATTCAGTGAGACTGGTTGTGAAGCTATTGCAAAAATCCAGGTGAGGGTAAATAAATCAGTATTTATAAAATGCATAGCATTATGTGCCTAGAAAAGAATATAAGCTTAATAACTGTGAGCCATTGTTTAGTATTACTGTTACTACTACTGCTATTAGTCATTGTCTTCTGTTCTCCGTGCAGCAGTTCTTACGTGTTATTCCTGTAAAATACTCTTCCATAGGTTTTCCAGAGTTGAATGCAATTCTTGACATGCCTTTCTGATTGCACTCGTCCCGTTGACATTCAAGAAAACAGATCAGCGTGCAAGGGAATGAGGGTGTCACTTATTATGGGGATTACTTTGAGTTAGTTCTAATTTCTATTCCTTTAAAAAGCAAGGAAAATAATTCCTCAACTTTGGCTCTTCATGTTACTACTGGCAATAACTTGTACTCTCTAACTGGTGGTTCTTCTCTGGTGCCATGACTCAGGAGTTGGGAGCTGTTGTTCCTGAAACATTTAAACCAAAACTTGAGTTTGACACCTTTTCACCTGAAAATTATTCCTTTATAGGCTCTTCCCTTTCACACATTTTTTTGAACACCTAGCTTGTGTGAGGCAGGGGACCCCATGCTGTGGACACACTCATGTTTGAGGTAGACCTAATTCTTTATGGATCGTGTCATCAGTCGGTGAAAGGTCATCATGAGTAGGCCCGGGTGATGTGTGAGGGCTGCTGTAACCAAGTACCACAAACGAGGGGGCTTCAGACAACAAAAACTTACGGTCTCACAGTTCTGGGGTCCGATAGTCAGAACTCAAGCTGTCCACAGGGCCACACCCTCTCTGAGCCTGTGGGGAAGAATCCGTGCTTGCCCCTTCCACGTTCCTGCTGGTTTGCTGGCCGTCCTTGATGTTCCTTGGCATTAGCTGTAGGCCTTCAGCCTCTGCTTCTGTCTTCCCTGTGTGTCTCTTTGTCTTCACATTGCATTCTTCTCCCTGTGTCTGTGTTGCTTTTTCTTTTTCTTTTTTTTTTTCTAAAAGATTTTATTTATTTTTTAGAGAGCGAGCGAGAGAGAAACAGCATGAGAGGGGAGAGGGTCAGAGGGAGAAGCAGGCTCCCCGCCGAGCCGGGAGCCCGATGTGGGACTCGATCCCAGGACCCTGGGATCATGACCTGAGCCGAAGGCAGACGCTCAACCATCTGAGCCACCCAGGCGCCCCTGTGTTGCTTTTTCTTATAAGGACACCAGTCATGTTGACTTAGGGCTCACCCTGATGACCTCATCTTGACGTGATTACCTCTGTGAAGACCCTGCTTCCAATAACGTTTCCTGGTGGGAGATCCTCCTTCACTCTATGCCTTCTTCATAGAGGCTGAATTTAGCTCTCTCAGTTAGTAATATGACATCTGTCACTCTAGTCATTTCTATATTTTAACGTAATCATTATGAAATTAGAAATGATGTTGTTCTTGCAAAAAAATTGGGATGCCTTGGATAAAACTGAAGTCCCCCTTCCCGGTCCCCAGAGGTAACCACATATCGGGTTTGAATATATGCTTTCTGTTCTCTTTGTAAACGGATAGATATCCCTATAGGAAATAGATAACATGTGACAACAAGCCTTACTCAAACCCTTTGAGACTATGTGTATTTTGGGATTTGAAATTTTTTGGATTTTAGATGGACTATATCAAAAGTGCACGTAAGTATGAGGTCGAGGACAGGAATGGGCGTTCAGGTAACACCTCCTGATGAAACATGCTACTGTTTCTGCAGGTAAAGGCATGACTGATTCATGAAATGGGATAAATAAAGCTTATAAAAAGCCTCACATCCATTCAAGGCAGGTTTTCCTTCAAAGGAGTTTGCCACCTAACTTGGGTTTTTAGAGCTTTTTGGATTTCAGAATTACAGAGAGAGAGATCATGGGTTTTGTACAGTTTTGTACGTGTGTTTTGTTTATATACAGTATTTTGTATGTATTTCTTTTTCTAAAGCATCATTTTATTTTAACAAAGTGACATACACGTACACACACACACACACAGTATAAAAGTCGGTAGTATTGCAATGTTCATAATAAAAAAGAACATCCTTTCGACCTCCTACTCCTTTCTCCAGGGCAATCACTTGTCCTTTGGGCTGTGTCTTTTGCTATTTGCTTCAAAATTTTTCAAAAAGATGGTTATGCTGTTTCTTCTGGATTTTTATAATTGAAATAGTAATAATTTCTTCTATAAAGTTAGGGTTTAGCATCTTTACCACTCTCCCACATCTTCCTTTCCCTCATCCTTCCAACAGTTAGATCACAGTTTTTGACTAAAAAAGTATTCGTAGTTGCCTTATTATATGGGTATATTTATATGTTCTTCCTTAACTGAGGTTTCTTGTGAATTATGATTGCATTTCTTGTAATGAATTACCTGTATCATGTTTTTTGCTAGTTTTAGTGTTGTGTGCTTATCACTAATGTATCTCAAGGGATAGACTCCTAAAACCTCTCAGTATGGTCTTCATACTTCAGGTTGTTTTTTTTTTTTCCTTGGGAGCATCACTCCTTGGCATTGTATTCTCCTCTACCTTGCACTGCCTCCTTTAGTCCTGGTACACAGCTATCCCACTGGCAATTTCTTTCTTTTTAAAAAAAATTATTATTATTTTTTCCCTTGTGATGAAAACATTTAAAGATCTACTCACTTTGCAACTTTTAAGTATCATTAACTATAATCACCATGTATCCCCACGATTTATGTATTTTATAGCTGGAAGTTTGTACTTTTTTTTTTTTTTTTAAGATTTTATTTTTAAGTAATCTCTACATCCAATGTGGGCTTGGACTCACAACCCTGACATCAAGAGTCCTATGCTCTTCTGACTGAGCCAGCCAGGCACCCCTGGAAGTTTGTACTTTTTAACCCCCTTCACTTTTTTTCCCCTATTCCCACTCCACCTCTGTATCCATATGGTTGTTTGTTTTTTAAGTGTTAAGTTTTTTTTTTTTTCCCAGATTCTACATATAATTGAGATCATACGGTGTTTGCCTTTCTGCCTCTGACTTAGTAAAACTTAGTATGATGCCCTCAAGGTCCATCCATATTGTTGGAGATGGCCAGATGGCCGCCTTTTTTATGGCACATAATATTCCACTGAATATATGCACCATGTTTTTTGTATCCATTCACCGATGGACACTGAGGTTGCTTCCATATCTTGGCATTTGTGAATAAAGCTGCATTGACTATGGGGGTGCATATGTCTTTTTGAGTTGCTGTTTTCGTTTTCTTCAAGTAATTACTTGGAAGTGGAATTGCTGGATCATATGGTGGTTTCATTTTTAATTTTTTGAGGACCTTCCATATTGTTTTTCATAATAGTTGCACCAGTTAAATTTCTGCCAGCAGTGGACAACGGTTCCCTTTTTGGCACATTCTCACCAACACTTAATATCTCTTTTCTTTTTGATAAATATTCATTCTAATAGGTGTGAAGGAGGTATCTCATTATGGTTTTTATTTTCATTTCCCTGATATTATTGATGGTGAGCATCTTTTCATGTACTCATTGGCCATGAAATGCCAAATGGATATATCTTCCTTACAAAATGTCTATTTAGATCTTCTGCCCATTTTTTAATTGGGTTGTGGGGTTTTTTTTCCCTGTTGAGTTGTATGAATTCTTGATATATTGTGGCTGTTAACCTTATCTGATAAATGATTTTCAAATACTTTCTCTCACTTGGTAGGCTGCTTTTTCATTTTGTTAGTGGTTTTCTTTGCTGTGAAGCTTTTTAGTTTGATGTTGTTCTACTTGTTTGTTGTGGCTTTTGCTGCCTTTGTTTTTGTTTCCAAATCCAGTCGTTGAGACTGACATCAAGGAGCTTACCACCTATGTTTTCTTCCAAGAGTGTTAGGGTTTCAGGTTTTATGTTCAAGTCTTTGATCCATTTTGATTTAATTTTTGTGTGTGGTGTAAGAAAGTGGTCCAGTTTCATTCTTTTGCATGTAGCTTTCCAGTTTTCCCAAGCACCACTTAATGACGAGACTGTCCTTTCCTCATTGTCTATTCTTGGTTTCTTTGTCTTAAAGTCAATCGATCATATATGCAGGGGTTTATTTCTGGGAGAATAGAAAGCTATTCTATTCCATTGATCTGTGTGTCTGTTTTTGTGCCAGTATCATACTGTTTTGATTACTATAGCTTGAAATCAGGGCCTGGGAATTTCTTTTCAGTTCCTTTTGCAGTTGGATCCCTTTTAATCTTTTGTTTATTCTCTCTCTCTTGTTTTTTTTGGTTTGTTCTCTTCTTAATTCTAAACATTCTACACTAGCTTTCTGAGAAAGGATAGAATGGATGTATAGTAGATAACTTTTTTGAGTTCTTGTAAGTCTGAGAATATTTTAATTTTATCTTAGAATTATAGGATAGGAATAATTTTCTTTTAGAATTGAGGGCATTGCTTCATTGCCTTCCAGCTTCCAGTGTTGCTGCTGAAGTCCCACACCATCTGATTCCTGATCCTTTGTATGTGACCTTTTTCTCTCTGAAGCTTACAAGATCTTCTTATTCTTGGCATGAATTTTCATGGTAATATACCTTAGTGTGGGCTTTTTCTTCATTCTTTGTAAATGCATATGGTCAGAAAGATAAAATGTTGCAGCTGTTGCAACCAGGAAAAAACAGGATGCTGTTAAAAAGCAACATTCAGAAAACAAACAAAAGCTTGGAAATGAACACTATGTCAGTAAAATTGGAAACTTCAGTAGAGAAGGAGGTGGAAGCTAAATTGGAGAAAATCTCCCTGGTGGGCTGAATGAGAGGACAGAGCAGAAGTCAGACCAGAGGGAGGGAATGAAGCAGAGACAGAAGAGCGGGGCGGGGGAGGAGAGAAGAGGGAAAAAGGGAAGAGAGGAGCGGGAGAGGTGGAGGAGAGGGAGAATGGGAGGGCATAGCCAACAAGGAAAATTTGAGCATCAGTTTAGGAGAGGTTGCACCTGTTAATAACGACAGGTGTTTTAGTAAAACATAACAGAGAAAATGGAGGGAAAGAAATTATAAGGAATAATATAAGATGATGTTCTAGAATTGAAGGACACAAGTTTTTTTCTTTCCTGCTAGTAGCTTCTCACAAAGGTCTGGTGTCCTTGGCCATGTGTATTTAAGAGGGAGCTGTTAAAAATCTGATGGGACCTTTGGTAAGAGGGTGGGCCTGGTGTACTGCTTTGGATCACAGTGAGGTGACTGGGCAAGAATATTTGGGTATTTTGTTGCAACCCCTGAATGTCTGTATTTGCAGCCTGTTCTTGGGCTGTCATTTTCCCCAGAGAAGAATTCTTTAAACTCCTGCCTGGGTGGGTAGAAGCTTGCTGTGTCTCCAGCAGAATGGGAGGCCAAGGAGTCTCACTATTCAGTATGTAGACCTTGACTTAAGTGCCCCTTTCCAGTAAAGTAGGGGACTTACCTTACTCCTCTCGGCTGAATTTGGTATCAAAGTGTAAGTTATTTCTGGTTTATCTGCAGACAGTACACTTTCCGTTTTCTGTGGGGGCAGGAAGAGAATTTGGAGCCCAGGGAGGGAGCAGGATCTGGGAGTGTAGGTGCCCTCTCCGGAGACTTTCGGTCGTTTCTTTAGTTGTTAGCCCTGCTCCCTCATCCCCTCCTTCATGGTGATGGGTGCTTCTAATTTCTGAGCCTTTCAGGGATTCTGCTGAGAAAATCTGCTTGTTTTTGTTGGCCTGTCACAGATAAGGCAGAGAAAGCCAAAACCTGAGATAGTTTTCATTTCTCTGTTTTCCTTCCAGAGTGTTTTTGACAACTCTTCTTTATTGCCATATCATTTCTCATCCCCTTTGACCTGTGAGTTTATAACTTTTAAACTTCATTTTGCTATATTTTTAGTGAGAGGCTTCATGAGGACATAGAGATGAATGTCTGTGTAAACCCTGACCTTAGAGAACGTGGTCATTTGGTCATTTGCGTGGTGTACACGCTCTTGGCCCAGTGCTCCTCCTGCTGCCGGAGATACAGTAGTGAGGGAACAGACAAACATCCTTGCCCTCCTGGAGCGTAAATTCTAGTAGTGAAGACAGGCACTGATCAAAATAAGTAAAGGTACAGTATGTTAGATAGTGAGATGGGTTAAGGAAAGATATTTAAAAGAGATGCGGGGATAAGAAGAATTGTGGGGAAACTTGTAATCTTTTAAGGCAGATGGTTGGGAAGGCTTCTTTGAGAAGGAGCCATTTGAGTGAAGACCACAAAAAGTGAGGGAGCAGATTGTGCCATTATTTGGGGGGAGAACTTACAGGCAGAAGGAGGAGTCAGAACAAAGGCCCTAAGGTAGCAGTGTGCACAGCATGTTTGAGGAAGAGTGAGGAGGGCCAAGGTGGCCAGATCTCACTGGAAGGGGCTGGCTTTTCTACTATGAGGTTGGAGGGTTTTAAGCAGAGGCATGATGTGATCTAAGTAATCTTATAACAGAGCCATTGTGGCTACTGTCTGGGGAATAGTCTGGGGACGGAGCAAGGGCCGAGGTAGGGAGACCAGTTTAGGAAGCTGTTGTAATATTCCAAGCCACATGGAAGCTGTGAGCGGTTGGATTCTGAGTTTGCTAGTGATTTGGAATATGGATGTGAGACAGGAACAACAGATTGTTTTAAGGTTCATGGCTCTCCAGGCTTTTGAAACCGTAGAACTTGGGTCTCATAAGTAGCATTGAGTCTGTTAAATGAATTCTTTTTTAAATAATAGCCATAGAAATACTTTAAATAATTTTGCCTAACAAACCATTAACTCTTCTTTTTTAAAGCTCTTCACAGAATATGGTCGTCTGGCAATGGATGAAATTTTCCAAAAACCCTTCCAGGTAGAATGCTAACTATAAATGTAATTCATGTCTTTGTATTGTTTTTTTAAAGATTTATTTATTTTAGAGGGAGCACATTCGAGTTGGGGAGGGCAGAGGGAGAGAGAGAATCTCAGACTCCCTGCTGAGTGCTGAGCCCCACATGGGGCTTGATCTCAGGACCCTGAGATCATGACCTGAGCCAAAACCAAGAGTTGGATGCTTAACGAACTGAGCCACCCACGTGCCCCTCATGTCTTTGTTTTAGTTCAGAGATCAGCAAACTGCAGCCCGCAGGCCAAATCAGGCTAGCTGCCTGATTTTATATGACCTGTGAGTTAGGAATGGTTTTTATATTTTTGAATGGTTGAAATAAAAAAAGCAATACTATTTCATGACATGTGTAAATTAGCTGTGGACCTGGACATTTATTTATTTTTTAATTTTTTAAAAGATTTTATTTATTTGACAGAGACACAGTGAGAAAAGGAACACAAGCAGGGGGAATGGGAGAGGGAGAAGCAGGCTTCCTGCTGAGCAGGGAGCCCAATGTGGGACTCGATCCCAGGGTCCTGGGATCACGACCTGAGCCGAAGGCAGATGCTTAGTGACTGAGCTACCCAGGCGCCCCGACACTGACATTTAAATTGCAGATAAAGTTTTATTGGAACACAGCTATACTCATTTGTTCATAGCTGCTGCTTTTTTTTTTTTTTTTTTAAGATTTTATTTATTTATTTGAGAGAGAGAGCACGTGCACAAGCAGGGGCAGAGGGAGAAGTGGACACCCTGCTGAGCAGGGAGCCAGATGCAGGGTTCGATCCCAGGACCCTGAGATCATGACCTGAGCCAAAGGCAGACGCTTAACAGACTGAGCCACCCAGGGACCCTCCATAGCTGCTCCATTCTTGTTATGACCATCTAGGATATTTACTCTTAGGTCCTTTATGAAAAAGTTTTCTGGCCCCTGCTTTAGCCAGTTGTTTCATAAGGATGAGAATGCATAGTAACCTCAGTAAGATTAGAGGAGTTTTAAGTATTATTATTTAATTTAGTTTTCCTTTCTAACATTAAAAGTAGATCTGATTTCATGATTAGCTGGTACCATGCTGTTTTCTTGTCCTTTACCACATTCCTTGTGCTTGACTTTAGAGCAGAGCCCTGAATTTAACATCTCCTCAATCTCTTTCTTCTGCTCTTACCAACCCATGGGAACAAAAATAGCCGATAGGATATATTCACCTCACATTTGACTTAATACATGTCCTTCTAGTGTTTATAAGGTTTCTAAAACTTTACAGAAGAAATAAATCCTTCACAATTTCTTACCCCCTTTGAAGAAGTTGGCACTATGCAAAGAAGTATTTCAGTTGTTATTTTGAAAATGAATTTCTGCAACCTTATAATATGTTCTATTCTTTTCCTAAATAGACACTGATGTTTTTGGTTCGAGACTGGAGTTTCCCTTATGAATACAGCTATGGACTACAGGGAGGAATGTCCTTTTTGGATAAGCGTCTACAGGTAAGAAGAAATATAATCTTCTGAGGAATTACCTACAAGGAAAGTAGTGGTAACTTTCTCATTTGCCTTTAGCTATAGTATTTAAAGCAGATTATGGAAAATTCTTCTAAGTGTGTTAAATACTTATGAATATTAGTGCACTGATGGTATTCACATAGGAGTCAAGAGCCTGGGTATCGAGTGCACAGGGATTACAGAGGACTCTGGCTTTGAAGGACTTTTGAAGGACTTCTGACTCTGGCCCAAGCTTTGATCGTGGTTTCCATTTCACATTTTGCACCAGGTTCTATATGTGCCTTTAGAATGCCGTATTCAGAATTTTAGTTCTGTTCTTATTCAGAATTTTTTCTTGTTTTGGGGTGTATATAAACAGGCTTAGCCTGTTGTCCAAAATTAAAATACGGGAGTCCTTTGTCAATCACTAATAACTAGTTAGATCCTCTTTCATGTCCACAAACCTTCCCTTGTTCTTCCGAAGTATTGTGCAATACTTTTTTTTTTTTTTTTAAAGATTTTATTTATTTGTTTGGCAGAGAGAGACACAGCGAGAGAGGGAACACAAGCAGGGGGAGTGGGAGAGGGAGAAGCAGGCTTCCCGTGGAGCAGGGAGCCCGATGCGGGGCTCGATCCCAGGACCCTGGGATCATGACCTGAGCTGAAGGCAGATGCTTAACTACTGAGCCATCCAGGCGCCCCTGCAATACTGTTTTTTAAGAAACTTTAGTCCCTGTTCTTTGGTTGCTATGGGAACCAAACCATGGTTAATCAAATGTATGCATTTATTACTTCTAGGGTTCTGAGTTTTCTCAGTGGACGACACAGTGTAGGTTGCTATGATCCATCAGAGCTGGGAAATCTTTCCTTTGTCCTATACTAGTGGTTCCTAGTGAAGAAAAACAAATGGTCTTTTGTAAATTGTTGGTCTTCACTGGCAGGTAAAAGAACATCAACACGAGGAAATTCAGAATGTCCGAAACCACATTCACTCCTGCTTCTCCAACGTCACCTGTTTTCTCCTACCACACCCAGGACTCCAGGTGGCCACAAGCCCTGACTTTGATGGGAAATTGAAAGGTGTGTTATAAATGATGTTATTTTAGACCGGTGATTTGATCTTTGGAATGAAATAGTGATCAGAAAATGTAAATTATGGATCCAGTGAATGCTGAAGAGGAACAGCATGTTCTCTTAGAAAGAATAGTATTTAGAGTCCACTTCATTTTTTTGCTTCTGCCTTACTGCGACCATTAGAATTCACCTTAATTTTTCCATCTGAAGTGGTGGTGGTCATATTCATCAATGATCTTTCTAAGAGGCCTGTTTTAATTACTGGTTTACAAGAGATAAAAGCGCTAAATAAAGGAACACTAAACATTAGTCAGCTGATAATTATCAAGTACAATTAAATTCTCAAAGGAAGGTAACATGATGCATGGCATGGCTGTGTGTTTTCATCTTTGTGATTAGCGCAGAGCCTGGTGCTGGGTCATGTGTGAGTATCAGGAAGTGTTGACTAGGTGTTAGCTTAGAGAAATTACGAGTCAGGAGTCTTGGATTCCATTGTCTTATTTTTGTTCCTTATTCATTAAGACCTTGTGTCATGTAATGCCTAGTCTTCAGTTTACACATGTGTTAAACTAGCATGTCTGTTTATAAACTTATCTGAGCTTCTCAGGTTCCCGGTAAAGTAGGAATAAAAATAGCTGCCATTTCTCCAGGCTCCGCTGTATTTCCCACTGCCCATCTCTTTGGGTTGCTATAACAAAATGCCATACACTGGGTGACTTATCAACAACAGAAATCTATTTCTCATGGTTCTGGAGGCTGGAAGTCCAAGGTCAGGGTGCCTGCATGGTCAGGTGATGTCTGTCTTCCTATTCTCAGACTTCTGGTTGTACCCTCATGCATGGAAGGGCTAGGAAGCTCTGTGGGGTCTCTTTTATAAGCGCCCTAGTGCCATTCACAGGGGTTTTGTTCTCATGACCTAATCACCCCTCAAAGGCCCCACCTAATACCATCACCTGTAGGGGTTAGGATTTCCACATACAAATTTGGCAGGGACACAAACATTCAGACCATAGCACCAACACTGCTAGTTTACTTTGCTACTTCATGCTCCCAGTGCTTCCATAAACTAATACTGTCTCTTTTATCCCACAAATGAAGAAACTGAGTTAGGAAAGTTAAGGAACTTGCTCACAGTATTCCGCTAGTAAGTGGGGGGTGGGGGTGGGGGCAGAGATTTACATCTAGATTCTTTTTGCCCCAAAGTCATATTGGGCTAAAACAGAAGTTCTTCTGTTATTTTGGGGAAATAATTTAGAGGGTATACAATGTTTAGTTTCCAGAAGAACTTGCCTTTTGAAGTGGGAGTTTTTCATAGCCTGTAATAAACACAAAATTCATCATTTTCAATTTATTTGACTTATTTGATCCAAGAACGTTAATGTACTTGTTCAGTTAAGATTTACATTCCAGCTGGTCTTCATAATACAGAAGAAACCGAGTTTGAGAGACTTCTTACCTTTACCTTCTGTTTGTCACTGTGTGGTATTTTTATGTGGTTGGCAGCTTTCCTGAGCAGGAGACGTCAAGAGCCTATTAGATGGCTATTCAGAAATCCAAGTTTGGGGTCTAGCTTTGGAGAGAAATCTGCTCAGGCAACATTGGAGCTAGAACCTTCTATTTCAAAAGCAGTTGCAAGTGACTTTTCTGAGTGGAGTGTATAGAGGAAGTTGAGTGTGTAGGTGATGTGTTCCTTTAGGGTTTTCACACTCTTACTAGACATACCTTTACCAAACCTGAACTTGGGTTTGTTCGTCACTGGGAGGGGAGGTGTCCAGGGCATTCCTAAATGAGACTGCTGAGGAGGGGGTGAGTTCAGGGACTTCCTCATGCACTTGATCCTCAGCATGTTCTCAGGTTATCAGGTATAAACATAGAAAAAGGCATTCCGTTGTATTTTCAAGCATTTTAATGTTTCAAAACATTGTTTTAAAATTCACTTTTATTATGTTATTCCAGGAAATAGGAAGAGCTTTTTAAGGTTTTCTAACCCCGACTTTTGAAATTTTGTATCACTGTTGGGTGTGCATATTCTGTCTGTTTCCTAGGACTGGTATCAAAGTACCATAAACTGGCAGGCTTAGGACCACAGAAATTTACTGCCTAACAGTTCAGGAGACCAGAATTCTGTAGTCATGGTGTCCACATTGATTCCTTCTGGCGGCTCTGAGGGAGAATCTGCTCCCTCTTTCTCTCCTAGCTTCTAGGGTTTGCTGGCGGGCCTTGGCGTCCTTTGGCTTGGAGCTGCGTGCGTCACTTCGGTCTCTGTCATCACATGGCTGCCTTCTTTCTGTGTCTCTGTGTGTTCTCTCCTCTTATAAGCACACTGCTGTTTGGATTTAGGTTCCCCCCGATCAGTGTGATCTCAACTAGTTACATCTGTAATTTCCAAGTAACTTAATGTCCTGAGATTCCAGGAGGATATGCACTTTGGGAGGATACTGTTCAACCCTCTATGTATTTAAAACTTATGAACAGCTTCTCACTAAATATTCATTGTGCTAATTTTCCTATTATAGTTATAAAATAGGGAACAAATTCTGTATAAGCTGTTAGTATCATAATTATGTACTATTTGCTTCCCTCATCCATCATTGAACTTAAAAACACACGGGGTTAAAATCTTAACTCTCTTACATGGAAAGGCAAGTCCCAAAGGAAGAAATAAAATGGTGAGTATATACTCATGAAAATACGTGTAGCAGGGGCGCCTGGGTGGCTCAGTCGTTAAGTGTCTGCCTTCGGCTCAGGTCATGATCCCAGGGTCCTGGGATCGAGCCCCGCATCGGGCTCCCTGCTCCACGGGAAGCCTGCTTCTCCCTCTCCCACTCCCCCTGCTTGTGTTCCCTCTCTCACTGTGTCTCCCTCTCTCTCGTCAAATAAATAAATAAAATCTTAAAAAAAAAAAAATGTAGGGGCGCCTGGGTGGCTCAGTTGGTTAAGCGACTGCCTTCGGCTCAGGTCATGATCCTGGAGTCCCAGGATAGAGTCCCGCATCGGACTCCCTACTCAGCAGGGAGTCTGCTTCTCCCTCTGACCCTCCCCCACTCATGTGCTCTCTCTCTCTCTCATTCTGTCTCAAATAAATAAATAAAATCTTTAAAAAAAAAAAATGTAGCATCACAATAATTGAGAAAGTGCAAATGTATTGGTACAAATTCATAGTCTTTATGGGTCAGTATCAAAATTTAAAATGTTTACATCCTTTGATCCAGTATTTCACTTTTAGGAAAGTATTTTAAAGAACTATCCAAATAAGTACATAAAAATATATGGAGAAGGGTATGTATTACTATAGCATTATTATAATAGGGAATAATTAGAAACAACTTAAATGGGTATTTTTGAGGAATTGGTTAAATTATGGTACATTTGCACTTTTAAAAGTTTATTTTAAAACTTATTTAAAGTCTTTTTTTTTTTTAAGAGAGCAGAGAGGAAGGGCAGAGGGAGAGAGAGAGAATCTTAAGCAGGCTTCACGCTTAGTGCGGAGCCTGACATAGGGCTCCATCTCATGACCCTGAGATCATGACCTGAGCCGAAATCAAGAGTCAGATGCTTCACTGATTGAGCCGCCCATTTAAAGGTGCCCCTATTTCAAATCCTTTAAAAGGTTAAGGTAGATAGATGGATCTATCTGTGTTTACATAGATGTCTATGACATATTATTAAATGTAAAAAGGTTGTGTAGTAGCATATGTTATATGATCCTATTTATTTAAAAATGTATATTTATAATTATGTTTTTAAAAGGAAAGATTTAAAAAATAGAAATTTTCTTTTTTGCTTTACCTTAAAAATATATTTATATCTGCCTTGTGTGTCTGTTTCAGGAACTATAGTCATTAGGAGGATTGCTCATAAAGAATTCTTATTAGCTCTGCAAAGGTTTATGTACTTTTAGGGGCTTTGCAGATGGATATTTTGTAATTTTAGTCAACTTTCTAATAGGATATTGAAGGGTTTTGAGTGAAGTGTAAATTGGACGATAAATTGCAAATAGTTGGTGGCTTGGAGTACTTGGCACGTGCTTGATTGAGAACCACATAAACTTTATTGTGGGGGACCTGTAAATGAAATTTACAGTTAAAGAAAATGCCTACATGTTGTTTTTTCTCAAGTATATACTTGTGTGATGACTTGGTTGAGATCCTGCAAACCCCATTCCATATAACCCGGGAAAGACAACAGTAGCTTCAGAGTGGTTAGGGCTAATACACAGAAGGACCTTAACGTAATTACTGTAGAACATTTAAATTTAGTAAGAGTTACATTTTCTGCAGATGTTCTCCTAAATACTTCAGGGATTATTTTAGTGGTTTTATTTGCTGTATTTTTTTTTTTTTTTAAAGAATGACCATTTATTCAGAGATGAACACTTGCCAAACACAGTCTTAGTTTTGGTAATCGCTGCTCAGCTGCTGCTTCCTCTTAGCTCGATGAGCTCACTTTTGAGACCCTTTCATCAGACACAGATGACTCTGCCATCACCATAAAGAAAACTGTCATCGGGCGCCTGGGTGGCTCAGTTGGTTAAGCGACTGCCTTCGGCTCAGGTCATGATCCTGGAGTCCCGGGATCGAGTCCCGCATCGGGCTCCCTGCTCAGCAGGGAGTCTGCTTCTCCCTCTCCCGCTCCCCCGTCTTGTGCTCTCTCTCTCTCACTCTCTCTCTCAAAAAAAAAAAAAAAGAAAACTGTCATCTTCGTATTTTCTAGAGAGACCTAATGCAGTAACCCCCGAGTTGTTTAGCCAGAAATTAAATGGAAGAGTTTGTAGGGCACAATCTTCTTTGACACCATGAGATTTTGAGATTGTCAGGAGATAGTTCTTGTCTGTTCTGAGTCTAAAACTAGTGTTTTGGTATAGCCTTTATAGAAGAATTACTAGCTGAGGGTCTGTTAAATCTGGGTAAAATCGAATGTAGGAACAATTTTTTGAAGTTCTTAGTCTTTCAGTATGATAAAAGTTGAAACCATAAAAAAAGCGTTGTTGTTGTTTTTTTTTTTTT